CTGGAGCCCCCAGCCCCCCTGCTCCAACCACCGGACCCCACTGCCCCCCCAGAGTTAACTTCATGAACCAACTCCATACGTTAATTGACCTAACTTAGCTAACCGGAGCAATTAACTAAATTAATTGACTGACCCAACAAACCTCGTGGGCTTTATTAAATCAACCGTTGATTATTCAATGATTAACAGTTTTTATTAACTCTACTAACTTAGTTAACTAACTTGAATAACTCCATCACTTAACCTAATTGGCCTAACTAACTTAGGTGGCTCAAATTAATTAACTGGTCTAACTCGACAGGCTTTGTTAAATCGAGTATCAATCAATTTATTAAATCTATCCAGAAATAAGTAAACTTATTTAATAAATCTATTTGTTGAATCAATTAAGCTGGCACAATCAACTAACTAAATTAATTAACTGGTTTAACTAAGTCAATCGGCTTTATTAAATGAATTATCAATCAATTTATTCAATGTAATAAATCAAATGATCAATCAGTCACTACTGATTTTAATTAATTATCTATTAACTCGATTAACTTAATTGACTTAACTAACTTGATTAATTGGCTTAATTAACTGCATTTTACATTCCCCCACCATTTTACATTGGGGGGCGGGGAGGGAGGAGTGCATTAATGCACCTGAATTTTGCCCAGGAAACAAGTTCAGCCCTGGGAAATATGTACGTCAGGTCATTAATGCCCCTGTCCTTAGCAAGGGAAATAAAGGCATTAATTAATTAATTAATAGGCCACTGTGACGCAGGGGAAATGATTCAATTAACACACCTATATTTTTGCATAAGGAAATCAGTCCATGAGCACAGTCCTGCTGTGCAGGAGAGGCAGCTTCATTAAGGATGCACCTATATTTTGCATATTAATTAGCATGCTACTGCAACCGGTGGGAAATCAATGCATTAATTAATAAGCCCCTGTTGGTCATGGGGGAATGAATCCCTTTGTTGATTAACGGGGGACGCCGGCGTGCCAAGGTCCATCGGAAAGCACCACGTTAAGGGATGGGCCTCTACCACGCCTGGGGGATGAATCCATTGATTCATTAATGAATGCCCCCATATATGGCATGGGATATTAATTGATCCATCAACTAATTACCGCACGTATCATTTGCATGGGACATTAACCAATCAATGACGGCCCCTGCCTGCACCCTGGGGGCGCTTGTACACGTTACGCGTCGTGGGAGACCAATAGGCTCAATCAGTGCCTGTGTTTTTGCATGGGAGATTAATCTGCTCGTTAATCCACTGGTTACTTAATCACCTCCTTGATGCCCCCCGACACACACACACACACACACACAGAGGCATCACCTCAAATCACAACCAAAGGTCCTGGCCCATGCGGGAAGCTGATCAGGGGTCAGAGGTGCAGGGGGGGTTGGGGTCATGCTGATATGGGTCGTTGCCCCCCCAGGAGCGCGGGAAGGCGGACACGGAGTTCGGGGACGAGAACCTGGTGGCTCTGGTCCAGTCCCTGTTCACGGCGGGCACCGAGACAACCATCAACACCCTTCAGTTCAGCCTCCTCGTGCTCTGCAAATACCCTGACGTGCAAGGTGGGGGGGCTGTGGGGGTCCATCCCGCCTCCTGCCAGGCCGCAGATGTACAGCGTTGTGCACCTACCCAGGAGCCTGGGGGTCTGGGGCGGGGGGAAGTCTGCGCCCCACCCCCCCCCCCCCCGGGGCGCGGCGGGGGGGGGGGGCGCCCCCCCCCCCCCCCCCCCCCCCCGGGGCGCTGCAGGCTGGAGGGTGGCCTGGAGGTGGCTCTAAAAGTGTGTGTGTGTGTGTGGGGGGGGTTTGCAAAGGATTGTGGGTGATGCCTCTGCCCTGGCATGCAAGGTGCACACACAGCCCAAGGGCTGGGGACACGCGCAGAGGACCCAGGTGTCCAGGATTACGTGCACACACAACCCAGGTGTCCAAGGAATGCATGGATGTACACACACACGCACACACACACGCACACAAAGAGAATCCAAGCACATGCACTCCTGCACACGCACACACATACCTCCAGGCGTGTGGAACATACACACACAGGCACACATGTGCATGCACATGTGCACACACACCTCCAGCCCAGGTATCTGGGACACACACACATATATGCACACACATGGAGACTAGCACGCAAATGTATGCACACAGACGCAACCCAAGTGTGCAGGACACATGCATGCAGAGCACCCAGGCGCCTGTGACATGCACACAAAAGACCCAGGCGTCCGGGACAGGCACGCGCCCGTGCACACGCAGAGAACCCCGGCAGGCACCCGGGACGTGCACGTGCAGGCACACGCCCCTCCTCCCCCCACACAGCCCGCGTGTCTCCGCAGCCCGGATGCGCCAGGAGCTGGACGCGGCCGTGGGCCGGAGCCGCGCGCCGGGGGCCGAGGACCGCGCCCACCTGCCCTACGTGCTGGCCGTGCTGCACGAGCTGCAGCGCTACCTCGACCTGGTGCCCGGCGCCTGCCCCACGCCACCACCCAGCCCCTCGTCCTGCGCGGGCACCACCTGCCCCAGGTACGCCCCGCGCCCGCCGGGGAAGCACGCCTGGGATTTCACACCCATCATTCCACACCTGTGATGTCACACCTCTAATCCCACACCCCTGATTCCACACCGGTGACCTCACACCTGTGATTTCACACCCAGGACTTCACGCTTGATTTCATGCCTGGGATTTCACCCCAGGGGAATCCCAGCATTATCACCCCCTGGGGATGTTTGTTGGTCCCCAACAGGTCACGATAGCCCCTAAAATGTGCCCCCTGCCCCGATCAGGGCACAACCGTGATCCCACTGCTGACCTCGGCCCACTTCGAGGAGGGCGTGTGGGAGACCCCTGAGGACTTCAACCCTGGGCACTTCCTGGATGAGAAGGGGGCATTTCGCAAAAGAGAGGAGGCCATGCCCTTCTCCATAGGTAATGGGGGGGTGTGCACCAGGGGTCTGGGACACACACACACACACTCACACAAAATCCAGGCATCCAGGACACACATGCTGCCCAGGTGTCCGGGACACACGCACGCACACAGAGAACCCAAGCGCCCGGGATGGAGCTTGGGAGCCCGCCGGCAGGCCGCGCGCCCGGCCGTAGTGTAGACAGGCCCTCGGTGCGGTGGAGCCGACAGCCGTGTCTCCGCGCAGGGAAGCGCGCCTGCCCCGGCGAGGACCTGGCCCGGCTGGAGCTGCTCCTGTTCACCACCACCCTGCTGCAGAGCCTGGAGCTGGAGCTCGCGGGGCCGCCCGACGCCATCGACTTGCGCGCCCTGCGCCGCGCCTTCCGCGGGTCCAGCCTGGCCTTCCAGCTCCGCGCCCGGCCCCGGCCCCGGCCCCTCTAGGCCCTGGTCCCGGGGCCGAGCCCCCGTGTCCTGCCGGGACCAGCCGCGCGCGGGAATTAAAGCGCTTGTGTCAAACCTCTGGTGTCCTTGTCTCCCTGCTGCCGGCTCGGGGAGAGCCTCCCGGGGTCCTAGGAATGGCGGGGCAGAGCCCAGACTCCTTCCCCCATGGAGGCCATGCCGGGGGGGGGCCTTGACCCCCGTGCCACTGTCCTGTCCCCGTCCCCTTCCCCCTCTCTGGATCCTGCTCCCCTCCCAGGTGTCCGGGCTCCTGGCCTCCCCCCACCCTAACCATTGCACCCCACTCCCTTCCAGGGCCACCCTCCGCCTCCCAGTACCAAGCCCCGAGGCCGGGCACAGGATGCGACCCACGGATCCCAGGCGTCCGG